ACTTTCTTCATGCTCTGCTCTTATATAGTTTTGTATGTACACAGCTCTAGAGGTGTGCATTCTTGCATTCTTTGGATACAGCAACTAACTAGGATTATACTTGGAGGAATTCCCATGTTGAATTGCTTATTGAAAATGGCAGGTCAATAAATGGGAACATAGTGTGGCATAGCACAGCAGAGAGCATTATTTTAGGGCTTTTGATAATTCCTGAGAACAAACTAGGTAAAGGTAAAGGTACCCCTGCCCATACGGGCCAGTCTTGACAGACTCTGGGGTTGTGCGCCCATCTCACTTAAGAGGCCGGGGGCCAGCGCTGTCCGGAGACACTTCCGGGTCACGTGGCCAGCATGACAAAGCTGCATCTGGCGAGCCAGCGCAGCACACGGAACGCCGTTTACCTTCCCGCTGGTAAGCGGTCCCTATTTATCTACTTGCACCTGGGGGTGCTTTCGAACTGCTAGGTTGGCAGGCGCTGGGACTGAGCAGCGGGAGCGCACCCCGCCGTGGGGATTCGAACCGCCGACCTTTCGATCGGCAAGCCCTAGGCGCTGAGGCTTTTACCCACAGCGCCACCCGCGTCCCTGATAACAAACTAGGTCAGTGTTTTTCAGAGTTGTAGGATTCCCAGGGAAACTCAATCCACCAATTTCTTTTTACTCTCTCTGCAGCATTGTTCCCTGCTTCTCACGTGGCTTCTTTCTAGAGTCTAGCATCACTATTTGAGAATGTGGGAACTAGGCTGAGGGATTTCAACTAAAGAAATTCCCATGTTGAAATTTCCCACCCATAGAGACTCATTTCCCTAGCTGAGATGCAGTCCATCAGGCATCTCTTCTTCTGCCTTCAGAAACTTGTGAATTTTCATATGACAGCAATTGGGAACATTGCGGATACAGTTACTGGTCAACAGGCCAAGGGTTGCCTGAGGCAGACTGTTTGGCAGGGCCAGTGGTTTCAGGGAGTACCTGCGTGAGTTACTATAAAGATTTTGGAAGCAAATGCTTCTAAATGAAATGAAACTAAAGGGGGGGGAGATTTCTTGTATTTGATCAGCATCTCTGGTGATATGCATCTTGTACTGTTCTCTGTATGCTCTTATCTGAACTATGTGGATTAATCTGTAGGGAACTAATTTATGAAGGTACTTCGCCCTTGAGAAATGTTTATTAGATTTATCATTTTATTCTAACAGGAATAGGTTCTATATGTTTTCACTAAAACCTCTAGCAAAGAATAAGGCTCATTTTTAAATGCTGTACTTGTGAAACCTCTAAGTGTAACTTTTGAGCTGCCGAACAGCTCTTTATTGCTAAAGCTTTACTAGCCCTGTATCTGATAACACAGGGGTAGAGAACTTGATTTGACTGGTGGGCCAATTTTGACAGGTGGGCAGGGCCGCCCACCTGTCAATCACTTGACATCTCCCTTAAGTTTCAAAGAATTTGAAGTGTACTCTAAGTGCACTCCCGATTCTTGCAGCCGCTGCTTGAATTCAAACCATAGCTGCAAATATTATTGTCAAATGAAGGGACTGACTTCATTTGGGAGCTTCCAAGTAGAACCAGTCCCAGTGAGGACTGCATTTGAGGGCAAATTTAAGAGGTGTCCAGTGCAAAAACTGCTTGCAGTGGAACAATCAGGTGGGGATCCTAAGGCTCCCAACTGTTCCTTTGCAGCCAAGGCTTTACCTACCCGACCCCTGCTATCATATGGCAGCAGGTATGGGGTGAGTTGGTGTGGCTCTGGAAAATGGCCTGGCAGACCTAATCTGACTTGTGGGCAAGAGGTTCCCCAAGTAATAATGCAGGATAATAATGCCCTTTTTCCTGCACATTTAGATCTTAAAAAAAAATATCATGCAGGGTTCTATTTATGTGTGGTTTTTTCCAATGAACAAGATGAATAAGTTAAAAGACATAAGCTTTACCTGAAAGAAATACACTGTACTTAGAAGCCTTCCCTAAAAGAAATAAGCCTTACTTAGTTTAATGTTCTTTGCGCCTCATCATTCTTGGTATTTCCTCTTGATTTCATGATTCTGATCCTCTGGTTTCTTAATTGCAATAAGCATTTTCAGCCTGGCAAAATGTGAGTTAACAGCACATAGTGAAATCAGTTTGGCCTTGGCTGGCTGCCCATTTCAAGTAAGTATGATATTCAGTGTATGCTGCAGAACTTGCCATACTAAATGGGTTGCATGAAGGGTTCCCAAGTAATACCTTCAATCTATGTTTTCTGAATAGCTGCTGAGCTTCTTGCGGTCAGGAAGTGGTACTTAAAAGGCGACAAAATAGTTCAGAATAGTTAATTACATTGAGAATATGAATGTCTTGTCAAACCCACATTTAAGAAAGACTAGGTGTACGCCTTTCAAGAGAGACAGGTAAGGTGTGAAATGCTTATTGAGGAGCCTAAAGTGGAGGGAAAAGGAAACATAGTTCTACTGTTAAAAAAAAGAAAAATAAAAAGAAAAGAAAAGAAAAAAGGCAGGTTTCTCTGTGCAAGAACCAGCTCCTAAAAGGGACTTGACTGAGTATGCAAAACCTTTGATAGGCCACCAGATCCTTACAGATTCAGGTCTTAGATTTGTTTCCAGCTTATCTCTCACCACTTTTTATTTCTCTGTCATTCTTTTGTGGCCTGCTCAGCCAGAGCCTCTGCTGTGAAATAAGCTTATGCAAATCTTCCATGAGCATTGACCGGCCTTCCTGTGCTACGGCACTGAGGAGGTGGCCACAGAGTATCTCTGTGCTGTTTGGCACAAAGATGGCACCTCCAGTGCTCTGGTTCCTCTTTATCCAAATTGCTGTGAGCTGAAAGCTGCTCCGTTGAAGGCAACAGGTCCTTGAGTGGTTGGGGAGCTGGAAAGCACAACTCTGCAGAGATTGTCCAAGCTGTCACCGTCTCTTGCTTTAGCTCGGCTCTGGCTTCAGTCTCGGTTTCATTCAGCCCCTTCACCAGGCAGCCAATTAGAAAGAAATCCCACTGTGTGGGTTGCTCCAAACAGCCCTCTTGTCAAGAGTCCGGGCTAACCCTTGCCCTGTTGCAGATGGACCAGCACTTCCTCCGCCAGGGTCAGGGAAGCCTGCAGGGATGCAGAGTGGATAGGAAGATGGGACCTGTGCACTTCGGAACTGGGAGAGGGCTATAAGGGGAAACACAGATTTTTTAAAAGACCCAGTCCTGGACCCCAGACTCCACAGGCAGGGCGCCTTTCCAGCTCTTGAATATTCATTTCAGCCTGGGCTGCAGACTGGACAGAGCTGGAAACGGTCAAATGCTTAGTTAGAAAAGCACAGTTGTGGATAAAATTGGAAGCAGCCTGTTCACTGCCAAGGCGCCATCTCCCTTTCATTTCAGGCAGTGGAGTAAAGGATCACAGCAGAGCTTTGCCAGCCAGTTTCCTGAGGAATGTATGATTCTGGAACCACTTTCAGAATCAGAACAAGTCAGGGACGGCCAGCTCCTTAAAACCAGAGGAGGTGCATACTTTAGAGCTCAGCTGCTCAAGGGCTAGTTCACTGGAAATGGAAATGCAGTGTTTATGGAGTATTTCATCATACCAGGGTGCCCAAAATGTCTGGCATTGAAAAAGAAAAATGAAATCCACTATTCAAATTCAAAATTAGAATGCAGTGAAACCAAGTCTAGTGTGAACTATCCAGAGCTGCAGATAGTCAACCCGTTCTGGTCGGTTGGATGCTGCTTGCAGGCAGTTGGCAGGCCAGCTTGGGGAAGGGCCACTTGCTCAGCAGTAGAGTACATGCTTTGTGTGCAGAAAGTCACAGGTTCAATCCCTGGCATCTCCAGGTAGGACTGGCAAAGATCTCTTCTGAAATCCTTGAGAGTAACTGCCAGTCAATGTAAATAGAACTGAGCTGGATGGACACAGGCAGGTACTTGCATAGAACTATAAATATTTGCCTGGGGGGAAATATAGCTGATTTCACTCTCGCTGTCCTGAGAGACAGCCTTATTCACAAAACATTGAGCCATGTGTGTAGGCAAAGCCTGAGGAAGCTTCTTGTCACTTGAAGCCCAGCAGTCTGAATTGTCACATAAATAGAATAGAGATAAGGTAGCCCACCTAGGAAATGGAAAACTCTGATCCTAAACCTAAACCAGGGAAAAGGCTAAGGAGTAAACCCTACACAAATCTGGAGTGGAATCTCTAAGGCAGTAGGATGGCGCCTTGTATACCTCCTTCTGGCAACTCCTGCAGCCAAGCTGGTGACAAATATATTGCTGTGTTTTCCTTTGGACCACACCAGCAAGACTGAGGGGGGAGGGTCTTGTTATCTGGGCAGCCCAGGACCTCCATATAAACTACCCAGGCTTGCGCCCCAGGGAGGTTATTTCAGTGCTGCTAATTCAGCAGTTTGACTTCACCCCCAGAGGTGCACTCCATTGTCCCTTGAGACAGATGGATGCCAGCAACAAGACAGAGATAATCCCGATCATCTTCTATTTGCTGAGCTCGTATGTTTTGCCAAATGACTGCAAGAACATTACTCTGGGTAGTATTTGGCAGTTTGTCATAACAGTCAAGCTATCCCTCAATCTTCACGGAGAGCCTTTTGCTTTTCTTTCTTTCTTGGGATCTGTATACTCTTCCCACTGGAGCACAAATCCATCCATTTAATTTTAAAGAGGGTGCAGCAGCTACATAGGCATTTACCCTGCAGTGTGGGTCTCTGGTGTTTTCAGAGATACATTGTACGAACATACCAAGCTGCTTTACACTGGTGTCCATTGGTTCATCTACCCCAGGATTGTCCACTCTTGTCAACTGCTCTCCGGGATCTTAGGCAGAGGTCTTCTCCACCATCTGCTACGTGATCCTTTTAACTGGAGGCGGCAGGAAGTGAACCTGGACATTTTGTGTGCAAAGCATGAGCTGTAACACTGAGCTATGACTCCTCCGCGTTACTTTCACACGGAGAAAACTAGGGAGTTTTGGTAGTTCTGCAGCCTTATGACTCCTCCATCCCTTGCAGATATCCCAGTGATCCCTGACTTGGAGGAGGTACAAGAGGAAGACTTTGCCATGCAGGTTGCAGCCCCACCCAGGTAACAGCAAGATCACAGCTGCCATGGAAATCCTTGGGCTGAACTGGTAGTCATAAGTGGACCCCACTCATTCAGATTTTGTTGTGATTTGCTTGAGCAGTTACATGGTGTTGCTATGAATAACAGGTGGTTATGATAAACTCTGTTTTCATATGGAGAGAGAGAACAGCTGCTATGGACTCTGAATATGTGTGTCAACCCAAAAAAGACAAACTTTTTATTAAGATCAGTCTGTATTTATGGCAGCTGCTTTATTTATTCATAATATTTCTTAACTGCCCTTCATCCTAAGATCTCAAGGCAGGTTATAACTAATGAATATACAATAATAAAGCAAGTAAACCCATTCCAAGTGGAACATATGGATTCTGGTGAGGGGTGTGGAGTGCTCTAATTTGGTTCCTTGCTCTGTCCCCAATTGCAGCGTTCAGGTGAACAGAGTGCTGACCTACCGTGACCTGGACAATGACCTCATGAAGTATGCTGCTTTCCAAACTTTGGTGAGTGCAGGCAGTTAGAAATCTATATTCCCAGAAACCCCAGGGTGTCCCTTTTCATGGTGAGGCTGTGTGAATAAGGTGAGCATTCTACTGATAGCGCCATTCTGGAACACAAGATGTTAAGTACAGTGGTGCCCCGCAAGACGAACGCCTCGCAAGACGGAAAACCCGCTAGACGAAAGGGTTTTCCGTTTTGGAGGCGCTTCGCAAAACGAATTTCCCTATGGGCTTGCTTCGCAAGACGAAAGCCCATAGGGAAATCTCTGGGACAGCGGGGAAGCGCAGCGCATTTAGAAGCGCTCGGGGAAAGCAGCGCACTTCGCTGCTTTGCCCAGAGTGCTTTTAAATGCGGGAGGCGGTGAGGGAATCCCTTGGCCCCCCGCCGGACTTCCCGAAGCTCTTTTGAAGTCCGGCGGGGGGCCAAGGGATTCCCTCACCGCCGCCGGCATTTAGAAGCGCTCGGGGAAAGCAGCGCACTTCGCTGCTTTCCCCGGAGTGCTTTTAAATGCGGGCGGCTGGGAGGGAATCCCTTGGCCCCCCGCCGGACTTCCCGAAGCTCTTTTGAAGTCCGGCGGGGGGGCCAAGGGATTCCCTCACCGCCGCCGGCATTTAGAAGCGCTCGGGGAAAGCAGCGCACTTCGCTGCTTTCCCCGGAGTGCTTTTAAATGCGGGCGGCTGGGAGGGAATCCCTTGGCCCCCCGCCGGACTTCCCGAAGCTCTTTTGAAGTCAGGCGGGGGTCCAAGGGATTCCTTCCCAGCCGCCCGCGTTTAAAAGCACTCCGGGGAAAGCAGCGCACTTCGCTGCTTTCCCCGGAGTGCTTTTAAATGCGGGCGGCTGGGAGGGAATCCCTTGGCCCCCCGCCGGACTTCCTGAAGCTCTTTTGAAGTCCGGCGGGGGGCCAAGGGATTCCTTCCCAGCCGCCCGCGTTTAAAAGCACTCCGGGGAAAGCAGCGGGGGGTCCCGGGGAGGTTTTAAAATGCTGGGGGGCCGACCCCCAGCATTTTAAAACGCTGTTCCGAAGCGGGGAGGGGGGGCGGGGACATCTGCCCCAGCCGCCCCACTTCGGAACGCTGTTCCGAAGCGGGGAGGGGGGGGCGGGAAGACCTGCCCCAGCCGCCCCACTTCGGAACGCTGTTCCGAAGCGGGGAGGGGGGGCGGGAAGACCTGCCCCAGCCACCCCACTTCGGAACGCTGTTCCGAAGCGGGGAGGGGGGGCGGGAAGACCTGCCCCAGCCGCCCCACCTCGGAACGCTGTTCCGAAGCGGGGCGGGGGGGGGGGGCGGGAACACCTTCTGAAGGCGGGCAGGGGGCGAAAGTCTTTGTCCCCCTGCCTGCCTTCCCAGGGGCTTTTAAATTGCCCCGGACAGCAGAGAAGTCCTCCACTGTCCGGGGCGATTTTAAAATGCCGCCCGCCAGCATTTTAAGATCGCCCCGGACAGCGGAGAAGTCCTCCGCTGTCCCAGGGTTTTTTAAAATGCTGGGGGTGGGAAGAAAAGCCCTTGTCCCCCCCCCCAGCCTTCAGAAGAGGTCCGGGGACAGACTGTCCCCGGACCTGGTCTGAAGGCGGTTTCCCTAGGAACACATTAATTGATTTTCAATGCATTCCTATGGGAAACCGTGCATCGCAAGACGAAAAAACCGCAAGACGAAGAGACTTGCGGAACGAATTAATTTCGTCTTGCGAGGCACCACTGTACCTGTTTGGCAGATCTGCATGGTATATGCTTTGCAGTGTCTGCTAAGGCATCTTTGGGTGTTCCTCTTCACTTCCCACTTTAGTGATCTTTACTTAAATCCAGCGTCCATCCCTTTGTTGTAATTCCTTTGGTGGAGCTCCCTTCCCTCCAGAAGGAATAAGCACACTCCGTTTTATACTTTGAGCCAAGGCTCAGCATGTGGATAACTCTGGAGAATTAGAAAGCTCTCATGCAGTTCTAGCTACAGAGCCTTCCCAAGGTGAAAAGGCTTTTCCAGATTGTAGAGTGCCAAAATTTCTCTTTGGATTGGTTTTCTCATCCAGATGCTGATGCGTTTGAACAGCTTTGCTCCATTAGTGGCAATGTAAGTTATCCAGAAACAGGACAGATGTGTGCAACATGTGTGTTTCCGTTATTGTTCTTGGATCTGAATTACGTTTTTATGCCCTCCCACAGGATGGAGAGGTTGACCTGAAGTTGCTCAGTAAGGTTCTAGCTCCAGAACAGGATGTACGAGAGGTGAGTTTGCTCTGGGCCAAGAGGAGAACTAGACCATTATTTTTGCTCAGCAGGAACATAGGAAGCTGCCTTAAACCAAGTCAGACCATTGGTCCATCTAGCTCAGTGTTGTCTGCTCTGACTTGCAGCTGCTCTGCAGGGTTTCAGTCTTTTCCAGGCCTACCTGGAAATGCCAGGGATTGATTCTGGGTCCTTCTCCATGCAGAACATGTACTTCTTCTTTTTCTGTTTGCTGCAATCCTCTCCTGTTGGCAGTTTTCTACCCATACAGTCGTACCTTGATTGTCAAACGCCTTGGTATTTGTACGTTTCGGCTCCCAAATGATCAAAACCTGGAAGTGAGTGTTCTGGTTTTCGAACTTTTTTTGGAAGCCAAACATCTGATGCGGCTTCCACTATTGTTTCTGGCACGCCTTTGCAATCGGAAGCCATGCTTTGGTTTCCGAACGTTTCAGAAATTGAACGGACTTCCGGAACGCATTCTGTTCGAAAACCAAGGTACGACTGTATATGCTTCCTGTTCTTAACAATCCTGTTCTTGGGATTGTGGACCATTCTTTAAAAATAAATTTATACTGGTTATCTATCAACATATCTATCCACCCTAAAGGCCCGATTACAACATTGTGCCAAACGAACAATGCAGCAAGTGTTTGTCTATATAGGAGGATGAGACAATCTTTTAGGTATCCTGGTTCCAAGCTATGTAGGACTTTGCACACCAGTACCAGCAGCTTGGACTTGGTCCTGTAACCAGTTGGCGGCCAGTGCAATTCTCTCAGCAGCAGTATAATGTGATGGCAACACAGTGAGCTGTCAAACCACTGAATTTTTGTATTAACTGCAGCTTCCAGGACAGTCTCAAAGGCAGCCCTGCATAGAGCACATTACAGTAATCTAATCAAAATTAACAGTGCATGAACAACAGCTGTCAGACTATCCCAATCCAGAAATGGCTATAACTAAAGTTGTTAAAAGGCCCTCCTGGCCACTGAGGTCAGCTGGCCCTCTAGCCCCTTCCCCTAACTCTCCTTATGACCACTCCCCGTGGCTTCATGTAGATGTTAAATGGCATTAGGGACAGGATAGTACCCTGCAGCCCCCCAAAAAACAATTGCCAAGGGGCTTGTAAAATAATTGCCCAGCACTATTCTCTGAAACCAGCCTTGGAGGAACTGAAGCACTGTGTAGCAGTGACCCCAGTGCTCATCTTATGGAGACAGTTCAGGAAGATACAATGGCCAATGGTATCAAAAGCTGCTGAGAGATCAAGTAAGAACAATAGGCTCTTTCTCTCCCTGTCCTTCTCTCGATAAAGGTCATCCATCAGGGCGACCAAAGTCAATTCAGTCATATAACATGTCCAAACCCGTTTGGAAGAAGTCCTAGAGGACTTGCATTTACTGTGATCATATATACAGTATAATTGACAGTGATATATAAAATAGTGGCACTGCAAGTGGTATGGATTAAAACGCACAGTCAAACCTTCAGGCTTTCTAGTAGAATTTGGGTTACTGCTATGAAGTAGCTTTTAGACAAGACATGGCATTCTTTCCGCCATTTGGACTGTGCTGCAATGCTTTGGGACATTTTTCCACTTAGTATTTCTTTCCTTTTTTTGGCAGGATGATATCAGCTGGGACTGGAATCATCTCTACACAGAGGTGGCCTCGGAGCTTCTGAGCGAGTGGGACTTGGGGCAGGCAGAAAAGGAGGAGACCCTCGCTCCAGTTAAGAACGCTTGAGCCTTGGCTGTTGAGCTTTGACAGCCAGCAGTGCCTCCTTTGCTAAGCAGGCACAGCTGCCAACCACACCGGCACAACTACAGATTACTAATGCATTATATTTTGAACCCATGCTTTGTATCTGAGGAATCATTTTAGTCCACTTAATAAACTTGTTTAATAGAGTTCAGCAGGAGTTTTGTTCATGGTGTGTTTGCGAGGGCTCCAACCTCGTCAGTTAATCAGTTTAATTGGTTAAACAGAGTATTTCTATTACAGTATTAGTACAATCTGATCAAGATGATGAATAAAAATGCTTATAAAAACAAGATCTTGTCAAAGCTTACCACTTTGCAACAAACATAGAACTCTTAAGAACTACCATTTCTCCTATGAATCAGATCAGTTAATTTGTCCATTTCTGCCTTCTCTAGAGATTTCACCAGTGATTCCCATGCAGCCAGACCCTTTGGACCTTTTCACAAGTTTGTACTGAGATTAAAAACCTTTTGAGTTACTAATTGGGCACAACATTTAAAAATATTTTTATATAAGTACACGTAACGAATTATAGATTGACTGTCAAGACCTGCAATTTATACATATCTTGATTGACCTAAAGGAAGTATGTTTTTTTCTTTCAGAACTATTATATATTCTTCCTAAAATATTTATGCAGATTGAATTGATAATTTGACAAAGGTTTATTTAATTGAGTGACAACCCTAGCGTGTGCTCTAAAACAATTTGAAATGTAGAGGAGAAATTGTATAGTACACATAGAAAGAAACAATAATGGGTTCATCCATATGAAAAAGCACCATACTGTACATCACATTCTGTCTTGAGCTTTGTTCTACACTGAAACGCAAACTGCAAGCAGAAGTTTTCTGTTATGAATTGCACTGAAAGCCCAGATCCTGGTTGATCTTGCTGTCTGCTCGTTTTCCCCAAACCAAAATGAGTGAGCGCCTCTTGCTTTTATCAGCATCAACACTTCTTTTTTGGTGGTCATGTGCAAACCGGCAGGGCAGTGAAATGAGGCCACCAACGGACAAAGTAGGAGTTTCTGCATACTCAGGGGACTTTGCAGGTGTGTGGAAAAATATTTGTAAGAACAGAGAAACCCTTCTAAAAGCAGGCTGAAGACATACTACTGGCCCCCTCCCTAACAGGTAAAAAGCATTAGGAACAGTTAAATGCCCTGAAAGTGAGGAAAGCAAGGCTACCAAAGACCCATCTTTTCCTGAAAGGGAGAGGAGACAGAAACAGCCTTTTGGGGAGCTGCCCCAACATCCAGTTCTCTGAAGGTTCTGGTGGAGCGGTCTTTGACATTCAGAAAGTGCCTCTCCTTTGCTAACCAGGGCTGTTGTCATGATGTCATACCATGAGGGGAGGGACTTCCCCTCAGCCTCCAGACCAGCCTTACCTGCTTAGCAGTGTACAGGGCTTAGTTGGAGATCATCCTGAGCACCAGTAAACCAGTGCCAAAGTTGCAAGCTTGGGATCTTTTTACTACAGTGGTACCCCAGGTTATGGACACTTCAGGTTACAGACTCCGCTAACCCAGAAATAGTACCTCGGGTTAAGAACTTTGCTTCAGGATGAAACAGAAATCGTGCTCTGGTAGCGCGGCGACAGCTGGAGGCCCCATGAGCTAAAGTGGTACCTCAGGTTAAGAACAGTTTCAGGTTAAGAACAGACCTCCAGAACGAATTAAGTTCTTAACCCAAGGTACCACTGTATTCTATCTCCTACCTCTTCGTTTCCTAGTTAGAGAGCGGATAAAGGTAAAGGGACCCCTGACCATTAGGTCCAGTCACGGACGACTCTGGGGTTGCGGCGCTCATATCGCTTTATTGGCCAAAGGAGCTGGCGTACAGCTGCTGGGTCATGTGGCCAGCATGACTAAGCCACTTCTGGCAAAACCAGAGCAGTGCACGGAAACACCGTTTACCTTCCCACTGGAGTGGTACCTATTTATCTACTTGCACTTTGACGTGCTTTCGAACTGCTAGGTTGGCAGAAGCAGGGACCGAACAACGGGAGCTCACCCCGTTGCGGGGATTTGAACAGCCGACCTTCTGATCTAGGCCCTGTGGCCCCTAGGCTCTGTGATTTAACCCACAGCGCCACCCGCTTCCCTAGAGAGTGGATAGGAGGGGTCAATATCTCCCGATAAAAAAGAAGAAAAAAAAACCAAGTCTCTTGGATGGGGTGGGGGGAAGGAGGTGAGCAAAAGCCCTAATACTTTATTGCTCTATTTAGAATCGTAGAGTTGGAAAGGGACCCAAGGGTCATCTAGTCCAACCCCCTGCAATGCAGGAATCTCAGCTAAAGCATCCATGACAGGTGGCCATGTGGGGACTAGCTGAGATGATTTCTGTGCTGCCAGCTCCCCCCCCCCCCCCGGATTAAAGCACTCATGGTCAGGGGTGCTTGCACATCATGGTGCTAGATTTAAATCACTGTATTGCTCAGTGATAATTTTTGCAGATGGAAGGCTGACTTCCTTGTGGGTGGGGGCAGATTCTTGCTTAAGATTCCCTTGGGAGTTACAGCAGTGCTTGCTCTGAACCCAGAGCCGTCAAAGTTCACAAGAAATTTCAGAAAAGGATCACTGACTGCTGCTTATTCCTCATTTATGAAAGAACGAGGCCAACCCCTGTGGTGGAGTCAGACTTCCTGTGAGGTGCTCCGTTGACATCATTTGTTATATTAATTATAATAGTGCTTTAAGAACTCCTGCCATCAAGCAGGTCCTAAAGTCCAAGTTCTGCTGATACTCTGCATTCTTAGGCTTCATTCTTAGCACTGCTGGGATATTTTTTATTAAGGTCTTCGCCCCTAAAGATCTGAAATGGGGGTGGATGACAGCAGAGAGTTGACGTTTCCTACATCTGTACATGCATGCATGGTGTTAGACATGTAGTAGAAAAACCACCACTGTTCACTGAGCACAGAAAAGTGCTTGGCATGGGCTGATCTTCAGTGATATTCTTCCCCCATCCCGCTGCCTTTTCTTCCACCAAGACCCACACGGAGCCTAGCATCCACACCCCACTTGAAAAGCCTCTCATTAAAATTCAGAAAAACAAAGTGGCTCAGTCCCTTGGATGCACACCTGGAAACCTTGGAGATCTACACAGACAAAACGCGTATTGTGATTCTTAATTATAAGCTGTGGGACTTGCTGAGGTAGGAATACTTTCTTCCTCATCTTCCAGGGTCAAACTCAGGCGTGCTCTGCTTTCCTGTTTAGCTGGCGTCCTGCTGTGGTTGCGCTTGCTGTTGTTTGTCACTCCCGAAACCTGAAGGGAATCTCTACCTTGAGAATAAGGGCAGGAGGCCCCAGCAGCCTCAGGAGTGGGTCATTGCAGTGGACTGCAGCTCCCTTGACACCCTGTTCTATATGTTCTGGCTGTACTCAGCCTCCCCTCTACTGCACACAAGTCTGCTTCGTTTCAACATGAAAACAAAGGAACTCAGATACTGGGCAACTGAAATCTGAAAGGGAAAAGGAGCTGTGAGCCCAGGGTATGGTTGCATTCAGTTATAATGGAGTGCTCAGCTGGTGTTTCAGGGAGACAGACCTGGAATGGAGGAGCAAAGGGCTGCTTCTTCCAAACAAGGACACACAAAATCAGGGAGAACCGTGGATCTAATCTCCATGCTGAAATGTGCAGAATATGTTCCAGCTGTGTTCATTTATTGTATTCTGCATCTTCTTTTGACTTGATACTGCCCCTATATGCATTGCAGTATTTTTCAGCCCAATGCATTAGAGAGAGGATGAAGGTATATGGTCCCTTGTTTGACAGGGATAGGAGAAGTTAACCTACCACCACAGCCCTTGCCACAATATTTCAAAATTCTGCTCCGTGGTACAGCATGTTCTCTGCATGCAGAAGGCCACAGGACTGATACAGGAGAGCATGGAAGAAATTCTGCCTGAAACTGTGGAAAGCCATTTTTTGCATTGCAGACAGCACTGCGCTACATAAACGATTGATTTAACATGACATAAAGCAGCCTCCTAGGTTCCTAAAAACCCAGATGCAGTCCAAATACATTATGTCAGTTATATGCAATTAATTCAACACATCACCCTTCAATTTGCAATTTGGAAGCAAATGCATAGCACACTGCTTTTCAGATTCTCCAGCCACCATCAGTAGGAGAAAGAGCCTCATGATTTCCCCATCTTCTTCTATCCCTCTTTGCTAGGTTTCTTCGGGATCTTGATTTTGGCAGCATGACTGACTTTGGAATGTGGCTGGGAACTGCTGCTTCCCCTTTCACATGACCTGATATTGTCCCAGGATGAGCTGTGCATCATCACTGCTCTGTAAGCAACTGGAAACAATGAGACAAGACTGGAGGCTCCAACAAGTTCTCAGCCATGTGCTGGAATGCACCCAGGTGTCCTGGCTGGGATAGAGCTGCATGGCAAGCCCTGAGATGTAAAAGAATTCTCTGGAAAGTATCTGCATGTGTTGAAAATTCCAGAGCAAAATGTTCCGTTTTGTAACTACTCTCAGTTGCACTGAAGTTATGGCACCAGTGACATATTTCATGCAAGCTGATTCCAGCACTCGGCATCTGTTGAAATCAACATTGAGGTCTGTTAAAAGGGTAGCAAGGAGCAAAGGATCTCAAAATGTGACTTTGGGTGGCATTAAACTAAATTTGCACAAGTGGAACACCGTTCGCTTCTACAACAGGACTCACTGTACCATCCTCAGATCTGGCCGGGGGTGGCGGGGTGGGAGGAACCCAACAGAACAGATTTATTGGGTGTAAATGGAGGAAGAAGGAAGTCCTGTTGCACAAGTGGAAATCATCCTTCTGACGCAAAACACTACTTAGCACTATTTTCAATTATACAACCTATAGTGACTCTGACACATTAGGAATATTTTCATATTATTGTGTTTTTTTCTGCTGCACGATCTATTTCAGGAACATCAGCCATAGGCAGACATCAATCACAAGGCTTCTGGGAGCTGTCCTGGAGCCCTGACTCAGGAATCTCTAGGCTACTGCACCTCTTTTGGCCCTTAGGAACCAAGTGGCGTGTCATTCTGTTAGCGTCCTGCATGCCATTCACAGATATTGCTTCCTTCTTTGCCCCTTCTGGCTGCTTCTGTCTTGGATTCTTGGTCTTGCAATCTTTTCCTCAGTTTGTAC